AATGACCTGACATATTAATGAAAATAATATGAAATGCTGATTGTATTTTATAGTGAAGGACTTCATTTATCAGTAGATGTCCAAAATGAAATGTTGGCAGTTTGTCTTGATATGAAACTGCTGAGGGGAGAATATTCTTTGGAAAACATGAAAGGGAATAGAACATGCCTGACAGATAAGTCCCACAGTGGCTTGACAGTTTGGATATTTGCATGATAATCTGCTCATCCTTTGCTTTACTTTTCACTGAATAATACCTTACATCAGAAATCTACCTTGATGTCTTTGCAATTTCAGTCTCTTCCCACTGCAGCTGGCACTCTCATGTGAGGCCATGTTTTGGAGGACTTCTCAAGGTATCTTCCTCTTTGAGGTTATCTACTAGCTTTTTCTTCTCTCATCATACTCCCTTTTTTGATCTTGCTCTGGGAACTACTTAAGGTGAACTTCCACGTCTCATGACCCTGGTACCCTTACATTTGGCAGATAAATAGTCCATGGTATATTTAGTATCAAAGGAAGGGAGAAAATACAAGCTTAGGAAATTCCCCACATCCTAATACTAGATTTGATCTCTGCTTCCTTCTCATCTATCCTTTGTTTGACCTTACTTTTTGGTGTTAATGGCTGGCTGCTGACACCAATGCAATCTGATTGCCTTTTCTTTTCCTCACAGTAATTAACAACAAGATCACCAAGGCAAATAGCCAGGAGCTCAGCACTTATTTGCTCAAACTTGTTATTATTTTTTTTAAATCCTTTCATAAGTGCCTGAGAAGATTCTTCTTGAGCTAAATCCAGCTAGCCCAATATTCTGTTTCTGACAGTGGTCAAATACAGGCAGTCAGGAATGTGTCTTAAAAACAAGGGGAGAAAAAAATTGCTGTGTTCCCAGAATACTCTGTCTTCAATTAATGGCTTCCCATATCTGTTTTTTTCCTTAAAGATTTTTCCATCTCTAAGGACATCTGTTCTCTAATGATAATTCATTCATGATTCTTCACACTACTAATTTATTGATTTGGCATGGGGGGGGAGGGGGAGAATGAACTAAAATGACTGAAATTACAAAGACTATTGATCCTTTGGCAGTCCAGCTTACCTGCTAGGGAATAGATTGCAAGATTTAGCTTCTTTTTTTTTTCTATGTAAGAATTCCTTAATAAGACTGGAGATGGCCTACCAGCTACCACACTGTCCCTGGAAGTCAGTGTTTGTTATGAGAAGGGGAAGAGAATATGATTTCTGTTGTGTGTTTTTTGTGGGTTTTTTTTTTTTGCTTCTTTGGCAGAATTCAGTATTACTGCAGTCAATAGCTAACTACTTGTTTCACTGGAAGACTGTTTTTTGGGACTCTCTGAGTCTTATAGAATAATTCTGTACTGAAAAAATTACAAGATTTACTGAAATTTCTGTGAGGTAGTCAAGTTTTTTCTTATCCTGAGAGCATGAATCAGAATCCCAGATTTTGTAGGACAATGTCTTTCCTATGTGCTGTTCTAATTATAACTCTGTGTGTTCTCCAGGAACACTTCAGTGCTAGACAGGTAATTTTACATGCACTTCTCAGATACTTGAGACTACAGAGGTCTCACTGGATTCACCTGCAATACACTGACAATGCAGAAAGCATTAAGTTTTGAAAACTTATTTTAAAAAGTGTGATATTTTATGACCGTGTTAGTTATATTGCTTTGTGTAATAGATGACTTTGCAAATCATTCTTGGAGCTGAGGGCAGCTGAGCACATTTTGCGGTGTGATCTCTACACCCACATGGGAGCACATCTCCTTGGACTTGACCAGTCTCAGCACTTTGGTGTTGATCATTTACTCAGGACTTCTCAATATGCTTGCTTGTTTGTTTTTTTTTTTTGTTGTTGTTGTTTTTTTAAACTTCAGTCCATGCAATACATGGGCTTTTTGAGGTTAAAGAGGGCTGCATAAAAAGTGATGATTGATTGAAGGGAAACAAATTGCAAGGAAAGTGAAAACAACAGCACTTCACTCAGTGCTTGTCTTTTGAGTGCTCAGCACTTCTGTTCTATCACATTCTCCAGCAGTACTTCAGGATCTCCTAATTTTTATCTAGCATTTAGTAGGGCTTAGAGTACCATAAAAGTGATTAAAAAAAAAAAAAAGCTAATTCAGTTCACCAAAACAAGACATATTGAATCCTTTACAATTTCTCATACGTTTGTCTAGCTGTTAAGGGTGAAATGCTGACTGAAGAGGTCATCTGGACTACAGTGTCTCTTAAAATGTATAGCACGGTCCTTATTATGGTGGTCTTTATTTCTGTAGTTGTCTTTTTCCCAGGGGGATGGCAAGGTTTATTTTCCAATAGCTTCAGGTTGTCAGACTGTAGTAAATGCTCTGTTACACTGCCTACAGCTACTCAAACTATCTTTTGTGTTTTACTGTAAGGGGTGAATATAGAAACTGGTAGACATGAAAAAGCATCACCTCTTGTAAATAGTGTGCCTTGTCAGTAAGGCCCTTTTTGTTTTAGGAAAACAAAACAGGGACAAACAATAACAGCAACATACTAAATTTATAAAATCTAATTTAACATCTTAGTGAAAACAGCTCAGTGCAGCTCTCCAGGATCCTGGCTGGTTGCAGTGCATGGGTAATAGCAGTGAAGAGTTGTAGTCTCTTCTGTTTTCATGTAGCATTTGGATCTAGGCAGCCTTCTGCAACAATTAGAGTGTGAATATCCTTACCATTGGCCAAACCTGTCCTGTGATTTCTCTTTCTGTCACCTGACCCCTAAGGAGCATCCACATACTCCTCTCCCCATCCAGGGAACGTGGTCTGTTCTGTGAAGTAAACAGACTTCAGACTGGGAAACCACAAGAAACATCTTAATAAATACTTAACTATTCTTATATGACCATTTAATTGCCATCAGGCTCGTGCAGGAGAATGGAATCTTTAGGAACATTTGGACTCAATGATCTCCAGAGGTCCCTTCCATTCCCTACAATTCTGTGACTGTGATTCAGTGATCCCTTCCAGCCTCAGTCATTCTATGATTCAATTATGATTTAATCCTAAGTGAGTAAGTAAGAGATGACCTTGCTAACAAGATGACCAAATCAAAACCCTTCTTTTTCACCCATTAATCCTCCTTCAGTGAAGTATGTTCACTTTTCCATTCAGTGCTATCCAGTTTTTAACCATGCCAAGTGATTTCATTGAGTATCCAATTTGTTTCAAGTAGTAATAGTTGAACCACAACAAGAAAAGATGTATTTCTATTAAAGAATGATTTCTGGCAATTTTCAGCCTTTACTCATTGAATCAGAAGTTGTTCAGGAAAGATGCACATTGACATGATGAAAAAGCCAAAGTAGTATATATACTCGCATCAGGGCATCTTAGTTCTGGTTCTAGCAATCAGAGCAGCCACTCATTTTTTTCAAGCTAGAACTAGCAAGCCTGTGAGACACAGTGTCTGTCTGTCTCAACTATGAAGACAAAGCCCATGTAGCCAACACTTATTAGGAAAGCTATTTATTCACAATGTAAACAAAAAATTGACAGGGACTACTTGTATTTATCTGATGAAAAGAACGAGTAACAAACAATGCCAAAAACAAACAACCAAAAAAAAAATTCTAACAAGCAAATGTGCCAACAAATATTTTCACTTTATATTTTGAACTGTGATTTTGTTTTTGTGTGTAGCTTCAACATGACAAAAAGGGAGAGAGAAGCATTCCAAAATGAAACTCAGCTTTTTTGTAAATGAAAAACAACCTGGATGTTTTTGTTTTTTGTTTGACCCACAATTGCTATTCCAAGTTCAATACTGGGGCAACAACTTAGAAAATCAATTTGTTCATCTCAAGTCATTAAGTGGCTAATGAGGCATTCATGGCCACAGTGAACAAACAAGCTATCCTCCCTTATTAACATCTTCAGCCAATGGACTCATGGACACCCAGTAACACTGCACATTGTACAGTGCAGGTGAAACATCGTCAGATGTTTCATAAATCAGTATTTCACAAATGTCAGAATTCAACACGGTCAACATTATTTACTGCCTTAAATGCTTCTTAATGACAAAATCTTATCAAAATAATCTGGACAAAGTGGTCTGATCTATGTGTCTTTTTGTTGAACTGTGCTCCTCATTACACTAGTGGAAAAAAAAGAAGTGTACCAGGAGGGTGTCACACTGCAAATTGTGTGATTTTGCTGCATTATGTAGATGTCTCCTATATTAAAAAGTTGTGGATGTCCTATTATCATCCTTAGTTAGAATTTTAATTAGACTCACTATAGAATAATATGTTAATAATTAAACTCACGAGCGTATATTTTACATGAAAATGGTGCTACATGCTGCATAAAATTATCATTCAATTTCCAGATCACCTTTATGAGAATAGCATAGAGGGACTTAGATTGGTGTATTTTGTTTGGTATTCTGTGATAAGCTCTCTCAATTACTGATTTAGTAATGCTACAAAAAGTTCAGTTATTATTCATACCTATATAGGTGATATAAATGCACAGACTCTCCAGAAACTCTTAACACAGTTCGGGCATTTGACTTGAATGTATGTCTGAGTACAAGTACTGTTCCTGCCACTTAACACAGAGGAGCTATGGGCTGTGAATTACTAGTGCTAAGCAGACATACCTCACCAAACACTTCTGAAACAGGAAAGCAATTCCATTCTTCCTTTTAGATAAGAGTGAGTGTGCGTAGAAATTGAAAACACTTTTCTAGTTTGAAAGCCAATCTGAAAACAGGTGAATATGCAGGCTGAGTGTGACAGAGAGCAGAGCCAGGTTCTGCCAGGATCTATTAGTTGTTGACCCAAATAACTTGGCTGAGGGTTGAAATAATCTTTCCAAAATATTTCCCATCCCAATTCTGAAGTCCTTCTAGCCCATCTGTAAACACATCTGGAGGACAGAAAGATATAACTAGTATTTGTTTCTGACTAAGTTTTTTGTTTTTTTTTTTGGCTGTCACGGAAGATGCTTCCTCACCACAGAAACTTTTGCAAAAGATGTAAGTAATTTTAATTTTGGATCTCTTCAAACAGAAACATGTTGAAGTTCTTGTTAGTTTCTAAATCAGATTCTGCTGTCACTTATATCCTTCTAGGTAGTTTGTGGAACTTCTGGAATTCCACAGAATTTAGAGCAGCTTCAAAACTATCACGTGTAATTTCTTTATGCAACTATCTGTCTATAGAGACGGGAAGAGTTCTGAGGACCCATCCTTCTTCTATGTCTGAAAGTGCAGATATATGACAAAACAGCGCAGCTCCTTCTCATTCGGAAACTTCATCTTGCTCATGTGACTCATGAGATACATTCAGTCACGCAAGGGGAGAGGAAGATGTCAGGATGCAGGGAATTAGAACATCAGAGAAGAAATTGTTGGAATATTTTTATCCCTGTTCCCCTCCTTTCTCAGAGGAGCATGGCATTGTTCTGGGTGAAACTGGTTGGTTCAATTGTACTGGTTGGTTCAGCAGTAGTCCTGTATGCAAAAGCAACAAAGCTTTTCTGTGTTATATGAACAGAGATTAATGTTGAAATGAACTGGCATTCTTAAATGGCTCTAAATTTTGAAATTGTTGTTTTAGAGTTGCTCAAGCATCTCATAATTCCATTGGCAAATAATCTTGACTGGGAATAAACATAAACTTATTTTTAAGTATCTGTCCAAAATCACTTGTTAAAACATATGCAGAAATAGGGTAAAATTTTACTTTTGTAATAAGATTATCGTAAGACTTTGCATGAATTAGGATGGTTATAATCACTTGAAAATTAAAAAATCTCCTGATGAGTTAAATTTCTAGTGTAGTAAACATGTACTTAAACATCTTCATTTTCCTTCACATCATGGCTGTTTTGCTTTTTGAGAATATTTTGCCTGAAAGTCTTCATATACACATAATAATTTTCCAGTCTGTATTTTCACTAAGGCAAAAAAGATATAAAAACTCTAAGAAAAATCAGAGCTAAGTAGTTAAACCAGTTATTTGATTGTGTATGTTCTAAGTCAGCATTCTCAAAGACAGTAAGAAATTTTTTTTTTAAATAAGAGTTCTTTTTCATTAAGTTTCACTAGGAAAAGGAAAACTCATGCCCCAGGAGAGTATAATTATTTATATTTTAAAAAGTAATCTGACTTGTAAAAGGAAAGGAAATGAGTCAAGAAGATAAGTCTAGAGGTACAGAAGTCGTGCCTATTGCCTCATCACAAAGTTTATCCCTTGACAATGCATGACCTAACTTAGTATACCTACTTGTGTTGTCAATATGTTATACCATACCCAAAGTAATATTTCTACCTTGATTCACAGCTGTCCCAACCCCCTTCTTGTTATTAGGTTATTTAAGATATCTTGTGTCCTTTTGCTCATAATGACTAGTTATACCACATAACTCCTCTGATTTTTCTCTCTGATTTCAAGTGACATGTTCATTCCTCTCAACATCAGAGGTTGCTTTTGCTGTGTCCTGTGCATGCATGGGAAGACCTTTAGATTAAAGAAGTGCTGAGTTCTTTCACTCTGCATTGTTACTTTCTGAATTAGGCAGAGTTTGCTCTGTGTCTGTTCAGTCACCTTCATGCTAGAAATAATGGGGATTTTAATTACATGATGTTAAATGTCTCTCTCTGATGTATCCATGTATTGGAAGGCTCATCATCAGTTCAGCAGTTGATTGAGGAAACCTTGGATAATGAGAGTTTATTAACCCAGGTTAATGAGCCTCAGGCAGAAATGAGGGATTTTGTCCAGCTGAAGTGGAGCATTATTGTACACAAATCTGGCTATCTGAGCAGAAATCAGCTCTCTTGAGATGTGCCCGGGAAATGACAGAGCATTTGGTGGAAATACCAGCAAGTAGATGCTGAAAGCAAAACATCTGTATTATCAGGAGCTATGTTTTTAATCATGTCCTCCAGATCTCTGAGGAGAGATAAATATCCTATCAAGTGCAATGACAAAGGGGGTAAGTGGTTGTTGTGTCATTAAGAGAAACGGTGAATATAGGTTTCTCAAGAAGCCCCACTGACCCTTCCCTGAAAGAGTGCTTCTATTGCCCACTACAGTAATGACAATACCTCTGCTCCTAGCAAAGTGCTGCTGATCTTCCCCTGGACCTTACTTCTAGTCCTAAGTGCAGAGAGCTGCCCAAAAGTTATGGTGTTCCACAGAAGCAGATTATCTGCCTTTGTTTGGAGTCAATTCCCCAGTAAAACATTTTAAATTGCTCATTTGCAAGTACCTGTAATTCCTTGCTAGAAAGACCGGAATTATCCAACAGAGAAAAAATGTCTTCCTTACTGTCAGTGAAAAGTAAAAGAATGAAACTTCAGTGATGAAAACACTCATATTTAATGTACTGTATGCACTGCCCATTGAAACTGTAGCTTTAGGTCCTTTCAGAGTCCCTTCAGTACACCTTATAACTCCGAATCTGCTCAATTACTTCAATCTCCTGTCCAAAATATCCTTCCAAACCTTGCAATGTCCCTTCACCTCTGCTGCAGGATCTGCTGCTACTCCTCGCTGCTCTATTTATAGGATTCCCGAATTCTAATCTCCTGACGGTGAAGGATGCTCTGTTCTACACCTCTGGGCCCATCATCTTTTCTTGCACCATCTATTGACATTCACACCTGCTACCATGACTGGCTGAGCCCATCTCTCCTCTGTCAGACTATCTCCTCTTTAATCCCCACGTAGAGGGAAAGACTTCCTGCTTCTTATTGGAATTTCTAAAGCCTAGATACAGGCCACAGTTCATATGACACAAAGTGCGGAAGAAAACAAAACATCTATTTCAGAAAGCACAAATATACTTACCCTTTATTTCCTTAATCTTATTCTGCAAGTAGGGCTGGGATTTACTTTTTTATAGGATTTGCAAAATAAAGCCTGAGAAAATAGCTTATCTCTGTTTCTACCTCTCTTCTCTCTCACTCTAGTGCCGCATTTTAAAAGAAAGTGGGGGGAAGTGAAAGGAGACTAAGATTCAAAGGACAGAGTTGGAGGTTACTTGATCATCTCTGTAAATAATTACAGTACCATTGACTGAGTGCCCCAAAGCCAAATTTCCTGCTGACAGATTTTTGCATCAGCAAAATTTCTATTGCCTGGTGGAAGGAGACTTTAAAATCATGACAAGTTGAATATAAGGCAGAGTACAAAACAAACTCACTGCCAATTCTTGATGACACAGAGTTACTTTGTCCCACATTCAGATATCTTTTTCCTTTTCATTCCCATCAGGAGCATTACCTCCATGACCTTATCAGTTCTTTCTCTAACACACAGCAGAGTGTTGGTTGCTTCATTTTCTCTGTAGTATTTTTTCCCCATTGAGACTTCTCAGTGCAATCCAAATGCAGGAGGTTACTTCATTAATCACTTTATTAGCCCTGTTTTCACCTTTGAAAAAGACTCTTAATTCTTCTCCATTTATAGTGTACTAAATTCCTACAAGATGCTGTGAAAAGATAGCAATGGGTCAACACTCCTTATTAATCTTTTTTTTTAATAATAAAATAACTGAACAAGGAGACACAAAGACAACCTGCATAACAAAATTCTGCAAGGTGCCTCAGTTAGACCTTTTCTTATTGAAAACCTTGTTCCAGTACAGGAACATATCTGTTTCCTTGCAACTTGTACTTTCCTAGTACATTTGTATCCCAGCCTTGCACTGCTGTCAGTGATAAAAAGGTGAACAAAAACCATGGCACAGGGGAACATTCAGCAGTACAAGCACATTGTGAATTTGAAAAGTGAAACCAGGCAAGTAGAAGACCTTGTTTTTCAGCCATAAAAATCTTTTTAAAATCTTTTTTTTTTTTTTTTTTTAAAGGAAAAAATAAAAGAATTGAACATGGTAAAAATCTGGTCTGCTAAACTATTGTTTAGCAAAAGTTACTAAATTTTGACTAGGTGGTTGCTGCAAACTGTCCAGTAAATCCAGTAAATCACAAAGGGGGAGCACACATCTTCTCAAAAGCCTTCAAGCCTTTACTAGCTCGGATGGTGACAGATTACTGAGCTCCTGGATAAGATGCTGAAGTAGTTGATAGCACACATCACAAAGAAGAGACCTATTTCCTGGTCTGAAGACTCTTTTAACAACTAGATTAAGGGCTTTCTAATATCAAGGTAAGAGTTTTCTGAATTTAAGTTCTTCAAATCAAACTGTGCACATTTTGAAAGGGATAAGATGAGGTGGTTTTTTTCCTGCAAAAGTCTGGAAGGACCAATGACACCAGACTCTTTCCTTCTCACTCATCACCACTTCATGTGTGTTCAGGGAGTGCGCAAGTGGAAGCAAAATCAAACTAGCCACCTCCTTGCTGGCTTGATTCTCCAGTGCTAGGAAGAGAAAATAATAACAGAGAACCTCATTCCCAGGGTAAGATTTGTTTCTTTGATTCAGATTAAGAGAGTAAGATTTCTTATTTATTAGTCCCTCATACTTTTGACCTCATCTGCCCCCACCCCCAAACAAACCAAAACAAAAATGGAAAATCAAACCTCCATATTCACTGTGCAAAAACATGTAACAGGAATCTCTGTGCCTCTTGTACAATGCAGAGAATTTTTCAGACAGCATCCACAGGAAGAGGGAGGTGGTCTTCAGAAATAACTATTTTAGCCGAAAATAAACAGCACTGTATATGGACTTATAGAGAAGGGAAGGGTTTTGCTCACAAAACCTTGCCTAGCACAACTGATGCTAAGCACTATTTGGCTAAGAGAGGTTGTACTTCCTCATCCATCACCTCCCCTCCTTCTGCCTCAAATGCAGCCATCTTTTTGCCATCACAGCCCTATGTACTGCAGCTTTCTCTTCTGTCAAGCCAGGTCATAAGTAAGACTTGCAAGGGTGCAAAAGTACATGATGACCTCCCATTCCATGCAGCTACAGAAGCAGCACTGATTATTATGATTTTCAAAGATATCCTTAAAGCTCAAGCTCCTATTCCTGTGATACTAGATTAAAATGCTGACTTTCATTAAAACAGGAAAGAAAATCCAGCCCTCATGGCTGTGGAAAAAAATTTAAAGACACTGAATGCACCTTAGGGATTCAAAACCTACAATGCAAATGCAGAGAAAGAGATTTAAATTTTCTTTTTCTACTTAAATGTTTTAGAAAAGAAAAAAAAATGCAGTATTTTGCTACTAGTAAGATAGAAGAGAGCAGGAATGTGTGCTTTGGGGATGTTTTCAGAGGAAGGCTGTGGCAGTGCCAGGAAGCAGCTGCCCTGACTGACAGCTCTCCCCTACCCAGAACAGAGGACCTGCTGTGTGGTTTCCATATGCTGCCTAAGGAGAGGCAGGTGGCACACAGCAGCAGCAGCAGTTTTTATGGATGGAACTCCCTCTCTTTGAGTCCTGTGGTTTGTGCAGTTCTCCTGAGAAGACGCTGAAAGAGGTGGGAAAGGCAGCATGATTTTCTGCCAGAGCATTGCTGGGGATTCCAAGGATCTTTTCCCTCTGTTTCCTGTAGACACTCCCCTGGACGCTGAAACAGTAGTGCCACACTCCAGTCTCCAACTCATAATCATGGTTAGATAAACACAGAAATACAATGAGCTTTTCATTAAATTTCAGAACTTACTAACTTTTTACCTGTTTGCTTGAATATGTTTACTTTTATCCTTTAGGTAAATATTTCTGCCTCCTGTGAACTTTTATGTAAATCAATGGAGGCATTTGGCAAGCCACATCAAAACTGCAGCTTTACATATCACTGAAGCAGAAAATAAATGGAAATAATTACTGATGTCTCCAAGTACAGATTTGTTTCAAAATGAAACATGTATCTTGAAGTAGGTGGGTTGTATATCTAATGATTTCCTGTTAGCTTATACAGCACTGGGTCAGACATTTTAATTTAATTCGCGTTTGTGCTTTTCCCCCCTTTTTGGGGAGGTCA